TGTATGTATGTATGTATGTATGTATGTATGTATGTATGTATGTATGTATGTATGTGTATGTATGTTTATATAAATAACATGTGTATATTTTGGTGTCTGATCTATTAGTCTTATTAAATCAAAACGGCCTAATAGAGATAGGATTTTGTAATTCTAAGGTAGTGAATTTGTGGTTTCTGTTATAGTCGACGAGACCAATTCTGGTAGACAAGAGTATGCCACATTTTAATCATTTTTTACAAGTTTCATTGTGCCCCACTAGGGCAGTGCTAGTGCGACTGACTGAAGTTGTCTTTACGCCATTCCCAAAGGGGGGACATTAACATGTTCTTATGCACAGTAGAATTGTAAATGGGCTGATTTATCAATGTTATGCTTATGACTGTGCCGGAACAACATAGGGGGAACTGCTGCTTTTTCTTGCCTCATCCTTACTATCGTCATTGTTCCTCTAATTCTTTTGTATGTCTATCACTCTCTTTTGAACTGCTATTTCCAGGGTGCCCTGATAGTCGAAACAGACTTTGTGCTGTAGAGGCTAGCGAGGTGAGCAGAGTAAGCCTGATTCCCCGTTTGGACTTCTCTGTTGAAGTCCACCCCTTGGCGCTCATATGACCTTAAGCATTTGCAAGCGCCGTAAAACCTTACTAAAACAAAAAAAGAGATTTTCAGTGCGCATTTGTAGGGGTAGTGTTTTTGTTCGGGAGAGGGGAGGTGCGCCAGAATAGAATTTAGTACTGCTTTTGAGATACTGATCTCAGCTGAAATCGGGCGCTCGTCAAAATAATGAAATTGAAGATATTTGCATTTTCCCGCAGGTTTGGCAATTTTTTGTTGAATTTTTGTTTTTGCATTTGGCTCAACACCTTATAATTCCACTAAAGAACACACTTCTGTATGGAATATACTGAAAAACGTTGATCAAAGGGACAAAGACGTAAATTTTCAGTTTCCACGGACTCTCAAGCTTTGGAAAAAGCCAAACTTTGGCGGCCATTTTCTCACTAATTTCACCTCTGGAACCAAGCGACTCCCACCTCCTTCAATTGCAAATATCTTGACTTGTATTCAAGATAAATGGGTAACTTTTCTATCCAAAGCAATGGCAACATAACAAGCTTTAAGATGCTACCAATAACTCCACATGCCCAAAACGTTGCCGAGCGCCTGATTCCACCGCGTCGTGACACATAGAGTACTGCCTTTGAGACACACGTACTGATGTCAAGCATTTTTAGGACGTGGCCAGACCAGCGAAGTTGAGTCCTTTTTGAGCCTAGAAAACAGACTCTCAGCATGGGCCCTTATGGAATGTCCCCGTAGTTTATGCAAGAAAAATTCTGAAATTATGCAAACAGCCCAAAAATGTGAAATTATGCGATTCTGTTATTCTTAGCAAAGAATGATAAAGAAAAACAATCAGAAATCATACACTATACAAAAAATGATCAAATTTTGCTAAATTGTGCGGGGTACATAAAACCTCGGGGACAGTTATGCATAAATGATATCTACATGAACTTATAGCAAGAGAGAGAGAGAGAGGGAGAGAGAGAGAGGGGGAGAGAGAGAGAGAGAGAGAGAGAGAGAGAGAAGTACAGAGAGAGAGAGAGAAGGAGAGAGAGAGAGAAAGAGAGTACAGAGAGAGAGAGAGAGAGAGAGAGAGAGAGAGAGAGAAAGAGTGAGTGTGTGTGTGTGTGTGTGTGTGTGTGTGTGTGTGAGAGAGAGAGAGAGAAAGAGAGAGGAGAGAGAGAGAAAAAGAGTACAGAGAGAGAGAGAGAGAAAGAGTGTGTGTGAGAGAGAGAGACAGACAGAGAGAGAGAGAGAGAGAGAGAGAGAGAGAGAGAGAGAGAGAGAGAGGGGGAGGGGGAGGGAGAGAGGGAGAGAGAGAACTCACACAGATAGACCGACAGACAGACAGACTCACCAACCTGTTCATTTGTCCACATCGCCGGTAATCTACTCCTCAAAATTGTGCAGAACCGTGTGACACTGAAAATCAACGCGTAAAAACACCACACAAACACACCACACTAACACTAACGACGTTGTTCTAGAACCTCGTAACTCCCGCTTGTGTCATATTCTAGGCAGAGGCCGTTCTAACTACAAATAAACACAGAACTTATAAAAGAATAACGAGTCTTGTTTCTCTCCAGTCTCCTTTGCTTTAGTTTTAGTTTCATGTTCTGCTTGTACATATTGCACTCGCTAAAGAGTTCAGAACATGGGGCAGACAGGGGGGAAAAAAACAACAAAAAACCAACATTCGGTGTACCTGCGGAAAGAATTTTAATTTGCTGCGTGTTTCGAAAGGTAACCTCGGCTAATATTTTTGCTCCTGTCTTTTCTTCTTATTTTCTTTACGTGCCCGTGCTAGATCTCAGGGTCAGTCGTGTTTTACCTGAGCGAACACCCCGAAACCTGTAGATTGTTTGACTTAGACTTAGTTGTTCGGAAAAGGTCGGGTGCTGCACAGGGCTGCTTTTTCTCATCGTTTCTCGAGACCTTTCTCTCTGTCTCTCACCTCCCCCCCCGTCTCTCTCTCTTCTTTCTGTCTCATCTCCACTGTCTAACTATATCCTTATCCACCCTCTCTCACCCCTCTTTTTTGTTCTGAGTAGTCTCTCTCTCTCTCTCTCTCTCTCTCTCTCTCTCTTCCCCGAACGCTCCACTCTCTCTCTCCCTTCCTGTCGGTCATTTTTTCCATTGTCTTCTTCTAAATGTTCTTTTACTTATTTTTTTTTACAGCTCATTTGTTTTATCTTCTGCCTTTCTATCTCCCGCCCACCCCACCCCCACTTTCTTCCAGATTCTTTCTCTCTCTCTTTCTCTCTCTTACTCTTACTCTTAATCTGTTTCTTCTCTTTTTTCTATAAAATTCTCTCTCTCTGCTCGCCTATACATACGTCTTCAATTCTTTATATTGTCTCCTCTTAAAAAAAACAACCCCGCTCTATCTCCCATTTACTGCCTGCCTATCTGTCTTCAGTTCTCTAGCTTATACTTATAGCATACTATGGCTCGACAGCTTATAACACCAAATACCCAGGCTACGCAAAAGTTAGATTGAAGGAGTTAAGGGTTCCCTGAACAACTACATTCAAACTTTCCTCTAACGACCATCTGTACAACATATTTCTGCACAAACGGCCACTTCCCATTTCCCTCACCCCGCCCTCCCACTCTCGATTCTTTTTTTAAAAAAACTTAAAATCGACACTGCGTGAGACATCCACCTGTCTAATACAGTCACTATTCTCGACCATAAAGTCTCAGATACTTTCATCTGTACAACATATCAATTGAAAAGAGCTGCAAAGTTGGCCTACCATAGAAAGCCGCATCTCCCTTCGAAGCTCAACTCAACGGCAACACAGGATGAAAATAAAAGGGTCAAAACTAAGGACACCATCGCTTCTTCTGGATATAGGTCAATCGAGAAGCTGATGAGCTTAATTATTATGGGTGCTTGGCAGGGCAGGTACTCCGGTGTGGTTTGCTCCTCCTTTCCTATCAAACATCTGTCATCGTTTTCTCTCTTCTTTCTTTCTTTATGATTTAACTGTCTGGTAACACCACTCATCTTCAGCGTTTATATGACCCAGTTTTGTTGTAAGTGCTGTAAAACTCTTACTTACTAAAACAATGAGGGGCTATTCCACGGTAACTGACGGGACATTTGGACTAAACTTTCTTTCAGTGATAATAACACTGTAATTCATTGCATGTATCAGTTAATTTCTTTCAACTTTAACGGTAACTGGCGGGACATTTGGACTAAACTTTCTTTCAGTGATAATAACACTGTAATTCATTGCATGTATCAGTTAATTTCTTTCAACTTTAAATGATCAGAAACTTTGAAAGACATATTAAAGAATCATTTCAAACTTTAAATGATCAGAAAGACATATTAAAGAATCATATTAAATGCACTCATTTGAAAAAAAAAAAAAAAAAGTACTTTATGCAAATTTTGTGATGTGTTCAGTTTTGGTAACTGATGGGACAGGAAAAACCAACTCATTTGTCTCGTCATTACGGAAATCAAACACGTCCCAAAATTAGCCTGAAGTAGGCCTACTTTTTCAGGACTGGTCCTATTTACAATAATTTGGTCCTTAAGGCGTCGCTGGTCTGGTGATTAAGCTGACAGGCTCGCAACCAAAAGGTCATGGGTTCGAATCCATGTTTTTGTCAAGTTTCATTGTGTTGATGTAAACGTGCTGAGAAGCAGATGTGTACGTTTCACAAGTGAATGTATTGCGTATATTGAGAAGTATATGTCAACTGTTTGTTTTAGTACGTGTTTTATGGCACTTGCAACACAATTAAGTTCATGCCCTCAGACAATGGCTCAGCATTTCAGAAGAAAAAAGACTGACAAAGTGATTTCATTTTATGAATCTGATTTATAGTTTCAGTGAGCAATGTGCTATTGTTACTGGAGTACTTGCAGCATGCTGCTATCTTATGTACCCACATGGGAGTGTTAGTAGTAGCAGCACTGGCAATTACTTCTGACAAGCACAAAAACACAATGTTATAAATACATCTGAAAATACATAAGGATGAAAACCAACTAACAGGAATGTTTCCAAAGTGGCATATGCCATGCATGAAACGCATGTGCACTGTTCATTTATATATATAAATCTATATATATTTATGATAATAATAAATAGCTTAATACACGTTGATAAATCGATGGGTTATTTGCTGTCAAGAAAACAGGATAAGCAAAATAAAAATAAAAATAAAAAATCACTCAAGTTGAACTTGCCTCAACAAAGAAGATATACTGAAGAATTGAACAGATCCTACTATCGAACAGGTGTAAGCACTTTTCAAATAATAACACACAATCATTGCAATTGTTTTCATCAATTATTGTCCAATTTTTAAAAAACATTCTAAACCAAAGTCATCAACTGCTATAGGTGCAAAGAGAATCTAATTTAATGTTGGACAGACGCATTTGAAATTTAAATTTGGGAATGGATAGGAGAATAAAGTAGCTTTGTAGTCTTGACTCTTCCATTATCAAATACCAGATCTTAAGAACTATGAGTTCAGGAGGTGTGATGCGTGACTTTGTACGATAAAACCTGGTGTTTCTATTGTTTCAGGAAGCAACATCCCTGCATTCCGGTCATGTCCATTGATGCTCCATCGTTCTTTCCAAAATATCACTGAGGGTCTTCCTACTGTTTGTGCTAGTGGATATCTGGTTGACCATTCTTCCGGTGTAAAAAGGGTAAATAGCCTCATTGTCAAGTCACAAACAAATGTCTCTATCCCTCTGCTTTATTCTAATTTAGTAATTATGTACAAGTGTTAATGGTACAATATGTGTATTTTTTAGTGCCTTCTTCAACACTTGTTCTAATTAAGAGCACTCCCATATGACCTTATGCAGTTGCGAGGCGCTGTACCCCCCCCTCAAAAAAAAAAAAGGGTGGGGAGTCTTGAAAACTCTCCAAAGAGCATCCTTTTGGAGATTTGGACCACTGCCATCCACATCCAAGCCTAGTGTGACTTCTCCTTATAAAACGTGGCAGAAAAAGAATTACTAAACAATAGCAGACTTGCACAAAGTCACAAACTGATGCATATATACATCTCTGCAATACCTTGACAGCAATTGGACGGAAAAACAGCACACAAAAGCAGAAATTAGGAATATTTCTCTACTCTCAAGACTCTCACACACACCAATATGTCTAACAAATCATTCTGATCTCACTCAAACTCAGAGTAGGACAGGTGATATAGAAATAGTTCACTATCCCACTATCTCTCGGGACACAACTCCGCCGCATGGGGGGTGGGGGGGGGAGAGTGTCATCACTCATATCCTCCAAGCTTTCTGGAGCAAAGGATAAATACATACGTATATATTCTATTATCACATTTTCTCTGTCAGCAAAAGTAAAGTACAACTCTCATATCTTGGCACATCATGGCTGTAATCCCACTGGGACTCCCACTGTGAAAAAGGACATGACATTGAGCAGTAAATCAAGCAACTTGAAATAGGGGGGTGGGGGCGAAGGGTTGATGGTGAGGTGACGGTGGCGATGGACGGGGTTATCCTTTTCTCTTTCCATATCTTCTGTCCACCTCTTTCTCTTGTTGCTGATATCATATGTTGTCGTTATTGTTGTTGTTGATGATGTGATGGTGATGTGGAAGCCATTGCTGATATAAAGAGTCTAGGAGTTTGATTCAAACTGACCCAACTTAATCCTCTCCCTCCTCCATATCCCTGACTTCCGTGCGTGCCTCATCAGGCAACCCAAGAATATCGCTGCTACCCTTCACAATCACAGAATTGTTGGTGTTGTTGTTGCTGCTGTTGTCGTTGCTGATGGTGAGTGGTTTGTTGTCGCCGGTCGAGTTGATGGTGCTGGTGTTGTGTGCCGCGGAGGCGTTGGCCTGCGAGGGCGACAGGAAGCAGACACACATCTGATCTTTTCCGACCAGTAAGACCGCATCCCCGTCGGGGTGCCAGCTTAACGAGTGGATGAGAAACGAGCCTGGGGAGATCCAGCGGAAAATGTAAACGATAAAATAATACATGTAGAGATAGCATTTGTATAGCACAAATCCCCGCTCATCAGCAAGCTCTATGCTTCTCACAATCTATACTATTACCCCAGCAGACCTGAGAGCATTCTGAAACAACCTCAACTTCCAGGGAAGCATACAGAGCAAGCGGCAATATATAGGCGCTAAAACACTAACATACTGACAAGATCTTTTGCTGTCTATGGCCGGGTACCTATTCCCACCTGGGTGAAGTGAGGAAAATTCGTGTAAAGTGCCTTTCCCAAGGACACAACGTTCGGGCCTGCAGCTCGAACCCCCCAAACCCGCAACCTCACGATTACGAGTCCGGTAGCCTAACCACTAGGCCACTGTCGCCATGAAAATGCTACTAAAGAGTAAATTGCTGGAATAAACTTTCTTACAATGATAATACTACAATTCTATATCAATTAATTTCTTTTCACTTTAAATGATCAGAACATTTGAAAGACATATTAAGAATCATACTAAATGCAGTCATTTGAAAAAAAAAAGTACTTTATGCAAATTCTGTGACGTGTTTAGCTTCGTTAACTGATGGGGCAGGGTAAAAGATAAAGGGGAAGACCACGTGGAACCTGGAGAAGAGTCACAGAAACAGATACCGAGAAAAGTGGAAAGACATGGAATAACATCAAACGGCTTGCCCATGATAGGGAAACAGGAGGAAGTTCTTCATGAGGTGTTCAAGTTCAAGTCTTAGTTAAGAGAAGCACATCAAACACATTAATGGACAAAGAAAGATACACAGAAAGAACAAAGAAAAAGCAAAGAAGGAGGACCAACCAGCGGCGGCCTCAAACTACCATCATTCACAAGTTGAATCTTTTGCATTTGACACTTTAAAATACCAAGTCAAGAAATCAGAAAGCCAAGGAAACTTCAGAAACAACCCAAACTTTAAGAACCCCCTATTGAGCATTCAAACCTGGGTCATCCCCATCAAAGTACACTTAGATCACAACTGACCTATTAGGGTGCCCATTCACCAATTAGAAAGCTCGATACGAAAAGTAAAGAACAATAAATATTACTTTTAATAAACATTGAGTAACTACATTTTATCAACAACCTTTGAGAACTAAAAATAAGAATCTCCAAGGTCTATCATTTAAGACAGTGGAATTTCACTGACGTGCTTTCATAGAAACTTTGCCAAACTTGTCACTGTCACGTTAAAAATATCTTCAAATGAGAAAAAAAACTAAGTCTTCTGTTCCTACAAAAGTCATCTCCGTTTTATTGGCTAATGGGCTTTATTTCCATTATTATTCACAAATCTCATCTTGAAAGTTCATATTTTCCCTTCAGCATTGGCAAGTCTTCATTACTAGAAAGCAAAAGACATATTTTCCAATATGAATATGGACTTCCGTACCGAGACCCCAAAAACATATTTAATTCCCATTTGAGGGTCTCAGTCCGTAAGTCCATATTCAAAGAGGAAAACACGACAGATTTTGTTTGTTTGTACTGCTTCTCCCAGACTTGCCCAAGCTGCGGGGAAAAATATGAACTTTCAAGACGTGCTTTGCGAACAGTGATGGAAATGAAGCCCATAAATCAATAAAGCTGAAAAGACTCCTGCACCACTCACCTTCCACTGGGACCTCTACGGAGAGACTACCCTCAGATGACCACATATACAGTTTGTTGTTGGAGGTACACAAGGCAAGGCGAGGTCTGCTGGGGTCCCAGCTCACAACTGTCAATAGTTCAACAAACATCATCAAACATTCACAACTGTCAATAATTCAACAAACATCATTAAACATTCACAGCTGTCAATAATTTGAATAATTCAACAAACATCATTAAACATTCACAACTGTCAATAATTTGAATAATTCAACAAACATCATCAAACATTCACAACTGTCAATAGTTCAACAAACATCATCAAACATTCACAACTGTCAATAGTTCAACAAACATCATCAAACATTCACAACTGTCAATAGTTCAACAAACATCATCAAACATTCACAACTGTCAATAATTCAACAAACATCATCAAACATCAATAAGTTTTAAATACAGGACATTGTTATTGTTCACCTTTCGATCAAACTAGCAAGCTTTTCCTAAAAATCCACAAATACTGGATATCGCTGGACATACATTTTTATAAGTGCAAACAATTCGAGTCCAAAACCACTCCTTTCAAAAAAATAAACATTTTCAAACCATCAATGACATAGGAATATACGGACAAGTTGTGAATCAAACTCATATCTTTTGTGTGCAAAAGCAAACTTAAACAAGAAAGATGCTAATGCCAGTCAAATGGTAAAACTTTTTAACTTGTATTCACACACACAAAAAAAGACTATAAACTCAAATCCAACACAGGAGAAATACTTCATCTAGTATGTCTGCCATTCTGTTAGGATTATTTACACATACTTGGTTGGCTGAGACTTCTGAAATGATCTAATTGAGTTCATGTGGGTGTAAAACATATATGAGGCATCGTGGTGAAATCAGGAGCAGGTTAAAATAATGAAATTGAAGAAACAGACTTTTTTCCACCAGTTTGACAATTTTTATCACATTTTTTTTTGGCTCAACACCTTGTATTATAATGTTCATATAAAAAAACATTTCCAAGTGAATTTTATAGAAAACCGTTGAATAAAGGCACTATTTTCAGTTTATAAGGACTCTCAAGCTATTGAAGTCACCAAACGGTGGCGGTATTTTTTCTTACTAATTTTATCTCTGAAACCAGGTGACCCAAACTTTCTTCTTTTACAAATGTCTCTCGAAGAGAAATGAACATTTTTTTTTCAAAACAAAAGGCAAATGAATAAGCCTTCAGATAACACCAATAACTCCACATGCTCAATAAATTGATGAGCCCCTGATTCCAAAGTGTCGTGACACAACAAATGATCAAATTGTATTCATATGGGTGTATAACATATATGTAAAAAATTGACATTCTAGCCTGATTGAGCCTCGTTTCCTTTCTAAAGAAGACACAGTTCATGACAAAATCACACTCACAGCAAATACACAAAACCCACACACTCCATAAAGAAGACAGACCACACACATACCATACATATACCGCACAGACGACAGACCCCACCCACTCCACAAAGACAACAGACCCCACCCACTCCACAAAGACAACAAATCACACCCACTCCATTAAGACAACAAAGCCCACCCACTTCCCACAGACAACAGACCACACCTACTCCACAAAGACAATAAACCCAATCCACTCTACACAGACGACTTACATTTGATGGGGTTGGTCTGGATGAGGACAGCACAGAGCGACACTCGCCGTACGTCCCACACCCACAGGACACACGGCATGTTATCTGTACGACAACAACCATAACATTAGTTATAGTCTTTTTTTTTAGCAAGAGTTTTACCGCTCTTGCAACACAGTAAGGTCATATAAGTGCCGAAGAATAGATGTGTTACAAGACAGTAACATACACAAAAAAGAAGGAGGAGAGAAAAGGACGATAGTCGTTTGATAGGAAAGAAGGAGCAAACCACACCAGAGCACCCACCAACCACCCAGAGTTCTACAGTCTATCTAGCATGCACGCAAAAAAAAAAAATGCATATAGTGAACAAGACTTTCAGGTCCATAATTCTTTTCTTATGTAATACACTGTTCACTGTCGATTCTGCTTGTGTTGAATTCGCTTGAATTGACCCTCTATCTATAAGGTTGATCTTTTTCTCGGGTCCCAGCACCTCTTCCTCTTTACCGATCTCAACGGTGAAGCTGACATTCGTAGTCGACTGTCATTCTTAGTATTTAATGTCATACATGATAAAGAAATGGACCAACACCCATGATGGCGCTCTTGAACTGGTCAAATTCAACAAAAAGTCCGATCATTTCTGTAGACTAACCATTGGCAAAGATCAGACAAGACAATCTAATACTTTCAGTAGGATGACACAGTGACAGAGATCAGACAAGACACTCGGATAGTTTCTGTAGACTGCTACAGATACAGTGACAGAGATCAGACAAGACACTCTGATAGTTTCTGTAGGATGACCAGAGACACAATAACACAGATCAGACAAGACAATCTGATTGTTTCTGTAGACTGATACAGTGACACAGTGATACAGATCAGACAAGATAATCTGATAGTTTCTGAAGGCTGACTAGAGACACAGTGACACAGATCAGACAAGACAATCTGATAGTTTCTGTAGACTGACACAGTGACACAGATCAGACAAGACAATCTGATAGTTTCTGTAGGATGACCTGTGACACAGTGACACAGATTAGACAACACAAGGCAATCCCACAGTAATAAACCAGCTGCGGCGAGGGTACCTCAGAGACCTTTTGATAACCACGGGAGGTAACTCAAGTAATATCACAATCGTGCAATATTGGCAATTGTCTCCCTTCTATGTAAGCGACGTTACATTCTGTCACAAAGGACAGCAGAATCTCCCAAAACACTCAGAGCTTAAACTTGTATGTAAACTAAAATTATCATCATTATTATAATACTAATAATACTCATTATTATAATTATACCATTATTATCATTATCATTATTATTGCTATATTTCTTATCATTTTATTATTATTATTATTACTATCTCCTCACCATTCTTGGTAAACATGTACTTGTTGTCGTGGCTAAACTGCACCGAGCCGACGCCCAGCTTGGGGTTGGCTTTGTTCAAGGCCGGCTTGGACACGGGGACCTGTACAGGACAAGTCTGCACTTCATCTGTGGACAAAAGTATAATATGTGTCATAAGGAGGTGGAATAACAATAAAATTAATAATAAATAGCATTTGTATAGCATATATCCCCGCTTAATGGCAGGCTCTATGCGCTTTACACGATATTATTACCCCAGCAGACCATAGAACACTGAAACATTCTCAGCTTCCCGGGAAGCATACAGTGCAGGCAGCTGATTAAGCGCTCAAACACTAACAAATTGACAAGATCTTTCGCTGTCAATAGCCGGGTACCCATTCCCACCTGGGTGAAGTGAGGAAAATTCGGGTAAAGAGCCTTTCCCAAGGACACAACTTCGGGCTCCTGGCGGGATTCGAACCCACGACCTTACGGTTGCGAGTCCGAGAGCCTAACCACTAGGCCACCGATGCCACAATGAGGAGCTCGTCAATTTTGGGCAGGCGGAGTTATTGGTATCATCTGAAAGTTTATTGATTAAGCCTTACTTTCGGAGAAAGAAATACCCTCGTCTACCAATCTTGAGTAGAAGTCAAGATATTAGCTATTAAAGGAGGTGGAGTAGTCTGATTTCAGCGGAAAAATTAGCAAGAAAATGGTGGCCAAAGTTTGGTAACTTCAATAGCTTGAGAGTCCTTCAAAACTGAACAAGTATATATTTTGTGCCTTTAATCAAAGTTTTTCAGTAAATTTCACATGGAAATGTATTTTTTATTTGGACACAAAAGGTGCTGAACCAAAAAACAAAAATGTAACTAAAAATTGCCTGACTGGTGGGAAAAATGTCTTTTTCTTCGAATTCATCATTTTGACAAGCGCTTGATTCCATCATGATGCCTCATATATACTATACAATTGAATCTCCTCTAAAAGACACCTGCATAAGACAACCATCTGTACAAATGACTACTTCCAAACTCCCTATCTTGTGTACTTTAAAAAAAACAACCCATTTTAATGACACTGTGTAAGATGGCCACTTTTCTCTTCCATAAATAGGTGGCAACAGAAAAGTGGTTTTTAAAAATATTTTTAGTAAAGTGTTAAGGCGCTCGCAACTGCATAAGGTCATATGAGCACCAAGGGGTGGACATCAACAGAGAAGTCCAAACAGGGAATCAGGCTTTACTCTGCACACCACTCTAACCTCAGCAGCAAAAAATCTGCTCGACTATCAAGGCACCTCGGAAATAGCAGTTCACAAGAGAGTGACAAACATACAAAAGAAGTAGAGGAAAAATGACAATAGTAAGGATTAGGAAAGAAAAAGGAGCAGTGTCCCTTAAGTTGTCCCAGCACAGTATGAGCATGACATTGATGAATCAGTCCAGTTATAATTCTACTGTGCATAGGAACATGTTAATATCCCCCCTTTGGGAATGGCCAAAAGACACTTCAGCCAGTAGCACTGCCCTGATGGGAGGGGGGGGGGAATTGGCTGTTAGTACAAGCGATTGTCTTATGCAGGTGGCCATTAGATCAGGTTCGACCGTATCGCTAAGATACACAATACACACACAACAAACACCCATCTCTAAACAAAAAATTAGTTCAAAATAGCATTGACAAATATAAAAAAAACAACGAACAAAAAACAACAACAATAGGACATAAAATAAAATTATTTACATTTGCTCTGTCCAGCAAACAAACTGGCAGTGGGGGCAGAGAGAGACTTCTTGCTTGGCGGGTTTGGAGTTCGAGTCTCTGTCTCTTTGTACACCACCTACCGAAGACAGAGAGAAAACAAAAGAGAAAAACAGGTGAGTTCACACTACCAACAGGAAAAATTAGATATGCATGCGTTTGTTTCATTTAAGAAATTTGACTTCTTCTTTCTTCTTTTATAATTTTGTTGTTTCTATTTTTTTTAAAAACAAACGGATCGGACGGGGGCTTGTCAATGAGCGTCTGATTTGGGAAGATTTTTATCAAATTGTGCCTAATGGTGGCCTTCGACCATCCATGAAGGAAACATTTGGCCACCTTCAAATGTATCGAGCCATATCAAATAGAGATTTGATGAAACTTTCTGCAAGGTGCACAGGGTGTAATACCGCCTTAGTTCAAGATTCAGAAGTAAGTGCTTAAAAAAAAAGGTCATGCACGCTATAGTCAGGTGTGAAATCATCGGAACTACTACCCGTTCCTCCTCTCACCCCCCACCCCCCTCCTAATTCCTTTTTTTCCCTCTTTCTTCCCAAAGAAGGTATATATGTGTGTGTCTGTCTTTCTATGTGAACATGCGCAAACATACAATCACTGGGCCGTGACTGTCACTTTTAGATTTTGTCTCGTATGTTTGCTGCAAACTTCGTAGATCTCCGCCACGCACCATTTCAGCTCGTCGAAATCATTCCCTGAGATATAATGATATGATAATTATGCTAAATGCCAGTCACTCACCACATTTTTGCTGTCGATGACTTCTGGGTGGGGCAGTGTGGCAATTGTCTTCCATGTTACGTGGTTCAGCAGACGAAGCTGTTATAACAAAAAGAGCAACAACAATTAATAATAATAATAATAATAATAATAATAATAATAATAATTTAAAAAATAACAATAATGATAATTAATAATAACAACAACAACAATAATAATAATAAAGATAATTAATAACAACAACAATAATAATAATGATAATAATAATAGTTAAAAACCTTGTGCTTGAAAACAGGAAAAAAGAATGATTTAACATTCTTATATTTTAAAAAACCCAACAATGTAAATATTTTTACACCACTATCCACACAATTTACATCATTTAGGAGGTGGGCTTCCAACCCTACCTGTCAGGGCCAACCAGGGCTGAGAGAGAAACAACATCGCGGTAGAAAGATCGAGGTATTCAATAATAATTTATTTTTCCTACTCCCCACTTGGGAATCGAACTCGAGTCTCCTAAATGTGACAGCAAAACACCTTGAATCGCTACACAAAAGATGAAGATCATTTCTTTTCCATTTTAGTAGAGGTTTTACGGCGCTCGCAACTGCATAAGGCCATAGGAGTGCCAGAAGAATAGAGGTGTTACAAGAGAGTAACAAATATAAAATTGAAGAAGGGGAGTGAAGGACAATAGATGTTTGATAGGAAAGAAGAAGCAAACCACACCAGAGGACCCGCCAAACGCCTACTTTCTTCTCCGTGAAGAGTAAAGACGATAGAGGTAGAAGATGGTGATCAATGCACATTAATGATCTACAACGTTTTCTCATGAACGGTGGTCACACTTAGCATTACAAATAAATTTTTAAGAGTTCAACAAAACAGTGAGGCCAAAAACGATGGCTGAGCGCAAGAAGTGACTACTATATCCACTTTTCCCCAGTTTCGAGAAAAACGAGTTTGAAATTCTGAAGATATTGAAACCTCTATAACATAATCAATAAAGAAACGTTAATATCTCGATACCAAATTAAGCTACGGCTTAGATATTTACAGAGGTAAAAGAGCGACTTAAAAACTCACTACCAACAATGACTACTCCATTTCGACCAAATGTGGACAGTAGTACAGTCACTTCTTGCGCTCAGCCATAGGTTTTCTCACTAACGACGTTCATACTTAGCATCATCCATAACTTTATAACCGCTCTACAAAATACCGAGGCCATATAGGATAAAACTAAAAATTCAAATCATGTCGAATTGTGAGGCGTAAAAGCACTCAAAGCTAGTGGACACAATGGTTAATAGCACATAAACTAACCCCTTCCTCCCCCATCATTTTCCCTCTTCCAGAAGTCACACCAAAATGCCGGGGGAAAAATTGTAAAGAAAAGCAGAAAAATAAGTTGAAAACAAACCACATCACCCTATTATACTTGACCAGAGATTAAAATCGACACTTAAAATGAGTATCAAAAGCAGGCTGTCGTCGGGGTTTCGGGGATATGCTTTGACGTGGTTTGCATCTTCTATTTCTTTCTAGTACTGTTTATGGCAAAATGGTGCCGTTATCGAGACAACCTGTCTCTCTCTCTCTCCCTCTCTCTCTCTCTCTCATGTGATTGACACAAGCCCGCCTCTCTCCTTCTCTCTCTCTCTCTTTCTCTGGCTCTCTATATGATAGACACACAACTGCGACTCTCTCTTTCTCTCAGTGTCTCTGATGTAACTGAATCAACACTCCTTCTCCCACCCTCTCTTCCTCCCTATCTCCCCCTCTGTCTCTGACATAACTGAAATACCC